TTGCTCATTAGATTAGTTTAGATAATTAGTTATAAAAATCAACAATTCAAATTTTGACTATCCAATTATAGTTGGTGTTCATTAGAACTAGATTAAATAGTTAGTCATCGATGGTGATATCTTACTTTTATTACTGTACCATTTTAACTATTAACACCCCATCGCCTTGGAGCTAGTATATGATTTGATTGAGTCTGATTTAATTGAGAATCAAATCGAGTTGAGTAACGTTGATTAATGTTCTAACCATGAAACCAGATGGCTTTGTTAATCTAGTTTCCATTCACATGGGAGGCACCTCTACCCCTACCGTCCACCTTGAGTGAACATAAATCATTTAGATTCAATTTTAATGAGGTTCAAACCAAACCGACTATCAATGAGAATTCTACCCATAAAATCAAATTATTATTGCTCCATACGAGCCATTCTAGTTTCCATTCACATGGCTTGTACCCCTCACCCACAACACACCCCAGGATTCAACGCTCCCGATTTTACTCCCTCATTCCCTCAAAACGCATCTTGACCGTCCCCCATTTGATTCCACAAAAAGGTAATCCATGTGGGCGGCTGAGCTTGTCCCTCTCCTGTCCCCTGAATAGAAGAGCACTTGCCTCAAAAGGTGCTGCCACTCCAGCCGACAGCTTAACTTGCCTTTGTCCGCAATTTATGCAGTTGATACTCATAACAAGGCCAAATCCTTCTTCCCTTTGTAAGTATCAAATATCTATGTAACAAACCCTTTCATTTGTCTTCACATCAAAGCATTTTACCTTGATAATATTAGCCGAAAACTTGAAAACAAAGGGTTGAGCTTATTTCAAGAAATTCATTGGATAATTGTTCAAAAACTTGGCTTTGATATTTGAGGGTTTTTTGGGAGCAAAACTCATTTAGGAAATTACCTAAAGTAATAATGGCTCAGGAAAATTATCTGAATCTTAAGGAAACTGAGCTGAGATTGGGATTGCCAGGCACAGATGAATCTGAGTTCATTGGTTGTTCTGCTAAGAATAACAAGAGAGCCTCACCTGAGTCTGTTGATGACAGTGAATCAAAGGCTAATTCTGCTGCAAAATCCGCTGAGCATGAAACGTCATCTGCCTCAAAGTAAGTCATGCATCCAATTTGTTCGACTTTGTAGAGCTTAATATACTGAAGTTTAGGTAAAGGCTTTTGACCTATCGGATTGGTACTTGATTTCAGGGCTCAAATAGTTGGATGGCCACCTGTGAGGTCCTACCGGAAAAACAATTTCCAGCCGAAGAAAGTAGAATCTGAAACTGGGATGTATGTGAAAGTAAGCATGGATGGAGCCCCTTATCTTAGAAAGATTGATCTCAAAGTTTATAATGGATACCTAGAGCTCCTCAAGGCTTTAGAAAACATGTTCAAAGTCAGCATAGGTAAGGATACTTCCTTAGTTTCTTGCATTATTATCTTAACGAGTTATAATATATATTAAGAGGACACATTTGATATGAAATATTATGTCTAATACAGTATACAAGATTTTAACTCGATAATATTCTAGTAGTGTACAATTTACATGGAAGCTATATTAGGATTTCTATTATGGTTGTGGTTTTGTTCTAATAAAATTATGGTCTTAATTTTATTCATTAGGTGAGTACTCAGAGAGGGAAGGCTACAAAGGATCAGAATTTGCTCCTGCATACGAAGATGAAGATGGTGACTTGATGCTTGTTGGAGATGTTCCTTGGGAGTAAGTTCCCTCCGTGTGTAAACACTGATACAAATAATGCCGGGATGTATTTTGATATGCAGTATTGGACACGACTAATATGATAGACATTAATATATGTGTATACTAAACTTGTTTACGAATGTTCTTGTGCAGTATGTTAATGTCATCCTGCAAGAGACTCAGAATCGTGAAAGTATCAGAAGCCAAAGGCCTAGGTTGTGCCGTGTGAAACCCCAACAGCTTCAAGTCGAACAATTCTTAGAAAACAAGAATCTTACTACAGATTGGGTTATCGAAGAACCTTGATTGTGAAATCCTCAATTTTATCAAACAATTTCCTTCATACCTCGCATGGGAGGTTCAACAGGAAGACATAAAATTTGCAGTTTTTTTAGCATAATTTACATCAGGAAAACCATGGTGGTTTTGTGATCCTGTTATAAAGAACTACATATTATATCTATATATTGTTATTGTATAGCATAATTAATCTCGAAAATTAATATGGTTTGATGGGGTTGCAACGGATTTTATCGAATTAGATTTAGTGATTCATTAAGCAGATTTGGAAAATAGATTTAAGGTAGTTAACTAACCAAGCAATGGTAATAAATGAGTTCTATAACTATATAATATCAGCAACATTCAAAGCTTGTAATGCTGCATGAAAGTTACGAGTTTGACTCTAAAATCACCTAGATGAGAGTGAATACATGAATAACGTGGAATTAAAATTGTCAATTAAAAGTAACAAGTCAATTTTTAATTGTTCTAAATGTTTAGTCAATCAAATCAAGTTATCATATGTTGAAGTATAATGCTACTCAAACAGGGTGGGACTAAAAACAGGGGGCTGGGGTGCATCCACCTCAACCCTTGATTTCCTCATGAATTAATTCAAATCATGGGATGTGGTGCATCCACTTTAGCCCCTTGTTTTTGGGCTTTTTTTGCCTATTTGAGTAGTAGGGTTCTATGTTGAATTGCCACAACAATAATCAAAGCAGTAAATAGCACAGGGTTTATTGACGGAGAAAATCATTAACTAGATAAAAACTCTGGAATCAAGCCAGTAACCTCCACTATAAACAATAAGAACTTACAGTATGATTCAGCCATCCACTGGACTCACTGATCTAATTCCTGCAAACTTCAAGATCCGCTGGAATGTGCTTTACTAGCACCTGCTCTCGATTTTTAGGAATTGGCATCTCATGTGGATCTCCAAGAATACATTGTTCTTGTACTCTTCATGTACTTCTGGTCCTACCTCCTTCAATTTTCAGTAACATGTGAAAGCTATTGAGAAAGTATCTTCCTGATTATATTTAGGAAGTTGATGTTTTTGATTATTTGAATACAATGTTTTTCCCAACTTGTGGTTGATTAATCTCAAGAATAAAATGTTTAATTTCAATTATTGGATGTGTTCTTGGATCTTGAAATGATATTACGAGGATATAATATAACGATCAACCACCACCAAAACGTAATGGATATTAAGCGTTTATAATATGAGGTATTTGGGTAGTATATGATAGATAGAACTCTTAAAAATCGCCAACTAGGATTTCACATATAACATCGTTGCTCGAGCGCTAAGCTAACAATAGGCGAGCGAGAGGTGTGTCGCTCAAGCAATAGGCGGGCGACAATGATTCTATTTTTTTTTGCTCGTGTATAAGCTATGCGATAGGTTAGCGTAAATCCGACGACTCTTTCTTCATATTCCATATCCGAACCCAAAGACTCCTACTTCATCTATACAACCCCAAAAGACTATTTGACGTTTACAACTCTTTTATAACAATTATATTCTTTTATAATAATCCTTTTATTTAAAGAATTGAAAATAAAACATAAATCCTAACACTGCAGATACAGTTACTATTATGTCCAATTCAAATTCACAACAAAAATATAAGTTTTGATAGGAAATTGGCAGCTGCAGCCTCTAATTTAATATTGCAGTAAGGAGTACTTGGGTCTTCATTTAAATTCAACATTTCTTGATAATTGGGTTGTTGGATTGCGGTGCTTAATCATAGTGTAAATTTTTTTTTACACTATAAGTTTTATACGTGATTAAAATTAATTGTTTATTATATTTCTCAAAAATTAGAAACTTAAGCTTAATAATATAACATAAGTTCCTTCCAAGTCCAACCACCCCGACAATCTCACCCTTTCTCCCCGCCCTCCTCTTTTGAGAAGACGAAAATTTACCAACATATTACCTACAAATTATTTTATTGTAAGTTTATAAAAACAGAGATTAAATTACCTATGAAAAATCTGGTGCGTGTCTGGTTGCACTTAAAATTGCAATCTCAACCGTTGCCAAATAAAATTTGGACCGTTGCTTTTCAGCATTTTCCAATGAAGATTGACAAGGCAGCTGCAATATTGGACCATTTTATGACATAATGACTTTTTGCCCTTAATATTTAATTCATTTTGCATGACATATGAGCTTCTTCGGTTGTTCATTTTTACAATGTTAGGTTTTGCTGCCAAAGTGGGCTTCATTCTGCTGTAAAAAATGGTCAATTAATTGCTGAAAATTGGAAGAAAGCACCCCCAGACATGCCCTTGGTTTGTTATATTCCATCACTATATGTAGGCAAAAGAAAAAATAAATAGAAAATTAATTAAAATATTTCAGGAATTTCATAGACTTTTCCTTTGATAACTGTATAAAACTCAAAAAAAAAAAAAAAAATAGTAAATGAATACCAACCGAAATTAGAGCATCTACATTTTTGGTAGTCAGCGAGGATGGGGACTATTGACCGCAGAAAGTGGCTCCTACACGTGGCCAACAGAATAAATCTTCACGTTAGCTCCTTTCTGCACACTATGGCACACCGTTAGTCACCCGTGGCCTTTTCCGGTGGGGTTGGAAGTAGCCGCGAGCACTCCGACGGTCAAGTCAATTTTTAGATCAACCGGAACGTGATCCCCGGCGATTAGACAATCGTCGAGACAGGGTCAAGAAAGAACAAATAACAGGGGTATATTTCTATTTTAATGCTTAAAGTTACCCCTTTGGTGGAATCTCGTCCCCCTTTTCACGGCCAATGTGGAGGTATTTATACTAAGGATGGAAATATGAGAGTCGTTAGATGAGGAGACAAGTGGCATCAAATCCTCAAGGATCGTCCCATCCTAGGTGTCAGCTTGTCAATCCATAGGTTGGCGGACATTTAATGTTCTGACAAAGGTAGCTGAGTTGACCGCTTGTGTCTCGCCACACGTCCCATTAATCAGTCAAGGATTTGGATCTTCGTACAAAAGATCTTGGCAGAAGTGGGTGTGGGATAGATGATGCGGAGTTCCGGTCTTTGCATCCGCGACGATCTGCGGATGAGTTCGGTTCTTCTGTCGGTACACGAATCACTTTGGAGTGAGGTGATCAGTTCGCCACATGTTTCAGAAGCTTCGTCCCGCTCGAGTTCACATCGTCAGACGCTCGATGTTAACGGAAATTAGCTCTCAGCTCGTCCCCCCACGTGGCATGATGTGAATTAGTTCTCCTGACATGTGACGGATGAGGTGGCGGATCTATAAACCCCGTAACAGGGACTATTGGTGAAGAATGGATCGGGAAAGAGGGAACTCATCGTGCTCTAAAAATAATACTCACGTGCACAGTATTTGACCAATTAACGAATTTCTTGGATGGCGTAATCCTACATAAAATTAGAGATGAAGAATTTAAGTACCAAGAAAAATTAAATGAAGCTCAACTGATCTTCTGAGTGTAAACCCAACATTTTATGTGCAAGATTCTCTCTTTCATTCCACATCTATTACAAAGTTCGACTTCCCAGCTCTAAAGTAGTGTGGTTGTATCAAGGAAACATCAAATTTTCACACAAAACTCAAACCACATATTTGGTATGCATATCTATAGTATCAAGCAGTAATAAACAATTTTTTAACCTTTTTCTTCTTTAATATCGTCAAGTATATATTACTTAATTTATTTTAACAAGCATCATATTTGTCGTAAATAGGGTTGAGCAAAAACAAATCTGAACTAGTTAAAATGATCCACCCAACCCATACCAATCGGTTTGGATTGGTTTTTTAATTCAATTGGGTTGAGTTCAGGTTAATAAATCAGATTTCAGGTTGGATTGTATTGGGTTAGATTGGGTTTCGAGTTACCTATTAAAATTCAATTAAACTCAATCCAATCCAAAAAATTAAAAAATATTAAAAAGAAAATTAGTACTTAAAATCTAAAACATAATTATCAAAATTCTACTCTGCCTTTTGTCTCTTCTGTCTCTCATTGCTTCTTGTGTGTCGACTTCTCGACTCGATTTTTTAACGTGATTTTTGACTACACACTTGGATTGCTGGAAGAGATTTTGTATTGAGTTTGGATGATTTAACATTTTTAGCATTTAGGTTGAATTCATTTTATTTAATACGTATATTATCCAGGTATTAAAAATGTATTTAGATTGATTTAATATATATTTA